TGCTTTACCAAAATTTATAATTTAAGTCACACATTGTATTACATTATGAATAATACTGCTATGAAAATTCTTGTACAAGTTTTTGTGTAGATCTAAGTTTTCCTTTCACTTGGATGTATATAACTAGAAGTTGAATTACTGGATCATATGGTAATTGTTTAAACATTTGAGGAAATGCCATATTGTATTTTAGGAGGCTGCACCATTTTACATTCTCATTAGCAGTGTATGAGGGATTCTAACTTCTCCATAATTTTGCCAACATTTGTTATTATCTGCCTTTTTTTATTATAGCCATCCTAGAAGTTCTGAAATATTACATCATTGTGGTTTTGATTTGCATTTCCTTGATGGCTAATGATGTTGAGTATATTTTTCATGTACTCAATAAAAGATCCTCAAGTATAAAAATATCCTATATAATAAAAATCTAATCCTTAAGTATAAAAAAATCCTATATAAATAAAAGCAAATCTACTGAATGGCAGAATGACTGGTTGCTATGATGTGCACTGATCACCAGGGGGTAGATGCTCAATGCAGGAGCTGCCCTCAGAACTGCTGGCCCCAGACTAGCCAAGGCGGGTGCCAGTGGGGGGCCTTCTGGTCATCCTGCCTGTTGCTCTGCAGGGGGAGGTGACCTAAGGAAGTGCTGAGGTGATGGGGGGGGGGGGGGGGAGACTGACTAGACAGCAGGTGAGCGGGCAGTGCCAGGCTGGCTAAGATGGATGCCAATGGCCCCCTCCATCATCCCATCTGTTGCCCTACAGATCAACCCTGATCGCCAGCCAGGCCTAGGGACCTGTGCAAATTTTGTGTATTGGGCCTCTAGTTTACAATAAATGTTAATATTTATAAGCCACTAGAACTCAGACTCTTTATAATATTTATTCTTAAATTCTCCAAAATTCTTTACTATATAAAAAGGAATATGATAATCAATTTTTCTATCAAGCTACTTCTTTCTGTTCTTGATCCCCACCAAAATGCCCTTTCTTGTGGATGGGAGAGTGGGGTTGACCAGTCTTAATTCCTTAGAGCAGGCAGTAGTTTTTTTTTTTTCAACTTGGGCTTCTGATAGTTTTATGCTTTCTGAAATTGCATGCTAGCCCTTTCTCTTGGATATTACTCTCACCTTGCTACTAGCATCTGTTGTATGTATTCTCCCAAGAGTTTTCCCATCCCAGGATTTAGGGCAAGGTATAGATTCCAGTCTTTCCATTATACTCTAATGGAATAGAGTTAAACAAATTTGAACCTCTTTTTCTTTCTATTCATTCATTCAACAAATACAGTGTGCCTCCTAACATTCCAGGTACTATTCTAGGGGCTAGAAATATAATAATGAAAAGTCACACAACATCCTTTCTCTCTTGATATTTCTCTTCTAGTAGAGAAAAATTATGAAATAAATAAGAAACAAGCAAGGTTATTTTGGGCAGAAGTACTGTGAGGGAGATAAAATAAGGTGACATAACAGTGTTATGAACAAATGAGTACTGCAGAGGTGGAAGGGTAAGACTCTTTAATGAGCTAACATTGTAACTGAAGCCTGAGTGTTGAGAAGAAAGTAGCCAGGAGGTGAACACAGTTGGTGCAAAGGCCATCAGCAGGAAGGAGGCTGGGTGTTTATTGGGAATTTCCAAGCCAGGGCTTGGAGAGTACTGAGTAGAAGAGGTGAAGTTGGAGATGTATTTTATCCCAAGTGCAATGGTAAGCCATTGATGAGTTTTAAGGCAGAGGTGTAACTGATCTGGTTGATATTTTAAAACAAAATCCTCTGGCTACTGTGATAAAAATGGATCGTGTAAGTTTGGAAGGTCAGGCTCAAAAAGGAGTAGGGAAAGGAATTAGCTACTGTGGCAGTAGAGGCCATAGATTATGATGACTTGGGTTGGGGTAGAGATGATATGAGAAAATTCAAAATATACGTTGGAGGTGGTGCTGATAGGTCTTGTTAATGATTTGGATATGAATTGTGAGGAAAAAAGACAAAATCAAGAACAATTCCTAGGAAATTAGTTTTGAACAATTGTGGGAGGCAACTGATCAATGCTTCACTTTCATATCAATGTTCCCCTCTCTTTTGGTCTCACTCTAAAATAAATAAAAGTGTCTTTGGGTGAGAATTAAAAAACATTTATAAAGATACTGTCTAGGGATATTTGAAACATTAAACAATTAAGTGACAAAGTGGAGTAGCATTAGATATATGAATCTGGAATTCAGGGATGAGTCAGCAGTAGAGATAAGGGTATGAAGTGTAAATCTTGAAGGGAAGAAAAAAGACATCTACTAAGAAGGGCTCCTGGTGGCTAACTGGGCTCAAATTAAAGCAAACAAACAAACAAAAACAGAGCTTCGTAGCCACTTCTGCACAGGGGCCTCTCATGCAAATTGCACTTCACAGAGAAGTCTGCACTGAACTGCCTACCTGCACTGTGTTTCTGCTATCTGAGTCACCATTATAGAGGAGTTCCTAGAACCCTATTTCAACCAATAGGACTGAAGCTTTCCCCATTCAATGGGAGCTTCATAGTGTCGACCAACCAGAGTGGATCTATTCTGATGAATCAGACAGTGAATTTTGGACCAATCAAACTGTAAGAATTTAGAGTCCTCATTTGCCTAAGAACGGACCAATCAGAGACTGGCTAATATGGGCAGTATTAGCCAGTTCCCTTATGACTCTGAGCTTTTCCACTGAAAATGGAAGACTGTCTCTCCCTGGCTGAGCTAAAACATAAAAGATGTCTTTCTAGAACAGAGCAAAGCAGGCCCATGCAGAGCAGACCACTGAGGAGTAGAACAGAGATGTCTATCTGGGACAACTTTACAGCTGTGCTGTTTTAATCCTTGTTGTTTAACAATTGAATTGTTCTGCAGTGTGCTGTTTTCACAGCCATGTCGTATCACAAATTTTCCTTCTTCACCACATGTCAAGTTAGGGATTCCTGTTGGTCTTGAATTGGTGCCGAGGACAATTGGTTGATAGGAGTCAGGAGCATATAGATGATATTTAAAACCAAGGTGGTAGGCTCAAAAATGGCCCCCCAAGTATGTCTGTGTCCAAACCCTAAACCTTAAAGGACCTATTGTGCACAAAGGTACTTGAAATATGTAAGCCTGACAACAACCACCCAAGATAGGTGTTATTATCCTCCACTTAATAGATGGGAAACCTGAGGCTTAGAGAAGTGGGATGCTTTGCTTTTATAAATAAAATAAGATTTTATTTAAAAAATAAAATGCTTTTATTTCCCAAAGTGGAAACTACCTTAATTACCCATTCAAGGCCTTAGAGAATTTCTGCAAAGACTGGAGGTGGTAAAGAGTTGCACTGTGCTTTGAGAGAGGTTCTGTGTGAGAAAGGTCAGTAAGCCAGGACAAGAGGAATAGGGAAACAGACAGATAGTTAAACAGCAGTTTACAGCCATATAGTAAATCTTATCTTCCCTAAACCAAAGACACGTAAGAGTAAAAGGTTTGTACCTCACCCCAACCAGAGGGTAAATAGCTTAAATCCTCCTACTGAGGGAGATAGCAGAAATCCAAATACACCATTTACCAACCATACCCAAGGGTAGATCAAGTTAAGAGAATACACCTAATTTTGATACATTAGCATAAAGCTGATGAGCATTCTATTGAGGCCCTCCTCTAAAAGCCCAGCCTTCAAAACCCCTCCAAAGGAAGATCCCAGCACTCCCTCTTCCTTCCAGGAGCATGTCCTCAGTAGTTTGTCCCAGACAAGCCCCCTGATCCTGTCCCCAAGGCCCCCATTTCTCTGACTTCTTAGTGAGTCAAAGTAGACCAGCCTAGGCTCATTTCCCCCGCCCCTTGTTTCACAGTCTCCAGCTTTAAGAAACGTCCTCTAAAATTCACTTGGATTCCTGTTGTGAAAATTTTTCTGCACCAAGTTGAGAACCCACATACAACTAGCTGGCCTTAGACAAACCTGGTCAGGGCCAGGTCCCCTTTCTGGCAACACAATCACAATAACTCCATTGTCTCTGGAGCAAGCTAGAAAGGAATGGAAAGGAGTCAGAACCAGGAGCAATGGGGCCTGGGGGTCAAGTTTGGGGGGAGAGGAAGGAAAGGGGGATATACTAGTCCTAACTTGGGAGCTAAAGTAATCTTAGCTAGTAACCACCTATATAGTTTGTTGACACTACATAACGATCTCTAAACTCCCTCAAAAACACTTACATGAGAGAGTCTCTTATTTCCTAACCCCTAGAGTTACACTATTAGGGGCAGCGGCTTGAACCGAGGGCATAGGATAGCCTGTTCCGTCAGTTCCCTGCATTTAGAGGTCAGTCCTGGCCGGAACTCGGCCAATGGCCAGGGAGGCTACGGAGCTCCCGGGGCCAGGAGCGCAGAGAATTGGGCAATAGGTCACTTAAAGCCAAGGGAGAGAAGGCTCCGAGAAACTACAACTCCCAGGAGCCCACGAGTGTCACTCGGGGGCCTGGGCCCAGTGCAAGTTGAGAGAGGTGAGCCGACTCCCGCCGTACTTTACTAAGAAAGCCGCTCCGGACAGGTAACCAGTGTGCATGATTGATTAATCACGTCGCCACTACATCTCTCCCTTGGCTTCTTTTTCTGGCCTCGCCCCGGCGCGCTTTTCCTCTCCCCACCCTCCGCCCTCTTTAGAAGAATTTTGGGGCGAGAGAGGGCAGGCCTCCGGCCAGCGCGTTCCCGGGAGATTAAAAAGGGAGGGGAAAACACGCAGGGTGTGGACGGTGGCGAGGCTCGGAGGAAACCTCAGAGAATAGAAGGCGCATGCGTCCCGGGGAAATGTGCTGCGAAGGTTTAGGAATTGCAGAGGGGCGGGGCGGGCGGGCGGGCGGAAGTGGGCGAGCGGGCAGACGCACGCGCATTGGGCGCCAGCGCCCCGCCCCCTTTGAGGTTTCCTCCCCTCCGCGTCCTCCTTCACGCCCTCCGGAAGTGCACCGTCCACCCTGGGCCACACCCTGCGGCAGGCCCCGCCCCTTCCCGGCCCCGCCCCCAGCTCCCGCCCCCTGCGCTGGTGGCGGCGCTGGGTTGCTGCGCTGGCTGGCGGTTTCGGGGCTCCGAGCCGGGAGCGCAGAGTGGTTCCTTGAGGCGGCGGCCGGGCTATGATCGCGGGTCCCCGCCGTTCCGTCCGGGCGAACCAGAGTCCTCGTTTCAGCGCGCGCCTCCGGCCGAGCGGTCTTCTCCACGCCGTCCCACCGCGCGTTTGGCAGCGGCGCTCCCGCCGCGCCCCCTCCTCTGATGGCGGCGGAGATCCAGCCCAAGCCGCTGACCCGCAAGCCGATCCTGCTGCAGCGGGTCGAGGGGTCCCAGGAGGTGGTGAACATGGCCGTGATCGTTCCCAAGGAGGAGGGCGTCATCAGTGTCTCCGAGGACAGGTACGGACCTCTGCCCTTCGCCGCGAGGAGGGGCGGGACAGGTCGGCGGTCCCCTAGCCCGCGCTGGGGCTGTACCTCCCAGTCGGCACGAGTGTAGACACGCTCCCTCAAGTTCTCATTAGAATGCGCATCCCGGCGGGGCCGGTGTCTGCTACACGCCGCCGCGTCGTGGCTCGGAGCCACGGAGCTCGGACAGGGGCGTGATCTCTGGGCTTCCCAGGGGCCGGCCGGGTGTCGCCGGCCGGCGCCAGGGTAGCCCGTGGACTAACGGTATGCGGGCCGCGGGACCTTGGTCCAGCTCTGAGGCCAGCAGGGGGAGAGGAAGGAGCCGCCGGACCCTGCAGGTGTGTGCGTGAGGAGGATGCCCCCAGCTGCCTCTGCGAAAATAACGGAGGGGTTTTGAGTGCTCTGGTACAGTTCTTAGGGCTCCAAGCCGAGAAAGCAAATGCCACTCTTCTCCCAGACATTCCCATGGAATCCACATCTATTAGACATCTTATACTGAAATCAATGGGTATTGCAAGTTGTGAAAAGAGTAACTTTGGACTTCTGGCCAAAGGAAAAGTGCCTGTCCAAAGAAGCGCCTTCTTTCCTTTGCCTTCCTTTTCAGAATTTGCAAGGGACCAGTGCTGCAAATAGCTCTTGAGTTCCTTCCCTTTGCTTGCTTCCTTTCTTCTTCTTCTTCTTTTGTTTTTTTTTGCTTTAATTTTGCTTATTTTGCAGAAGTGGAGCCATTTGTTCTGCCTTTAATATTCTCCCTTATTTGCCAGACAAAAGGGTTTTTTATTTAATTTAATGTCCATTAATATGCAGATATTATGTTGACGGAGCTAATGTTCATAGGAATGCTACTTGAATCTAGTAGCTAGGGTATTTTCTGGAATTGTTGTTTTGATGATATCAACTAGCATTCTAAAAAGCTTAACACTGTAGAGGTATATGACAAGGGGCTTTAACATTAAAACAGTAGGTTTTCTTAATGTAAGTTCAAATTATGCTTGCGGTAGAGAATACCCTAAAATTGTAGGCAGAGGTAAAGCAACAAAGTGTTCATTACTGTCTTTATAGTCATTTCAGCACTTTATTTACAATGTAGCCACAAAAAATTTTCCTATTAGCTATATTCATATCATAGGTTCTTCAGTATAACAAGGATGAATATGTTGTGCTTGTCAACATCATACTGCAAACAAATGGCCACATGAATTTATTTTCTGTGCAGATCCAATTGAAAAGATTGTAAACATATGTCAATTGCAAAGCAGTGTGCAATAAACAGAGGAAATTCATGGCTGAAATGGAATACATTGATCTAGAAACCTTTTGAAATCCACAAAGAAGCCTATGAGGGTTTAATTTTTCAATAGAGACACAATTCTATTAAAGAGATTGCTTCTGGACCTAGAAAGTTTTTTTTGTTACAGAATTGTTTCTAAAGGAATATAGGATACACATCGCTTGTCTCCAGTTTGAAACTATTAGAGATGAAACTGTCAACCGGACTGCTATTAGGAAATTCTTAAGTTGGCTGAATCAAGTAAAAGGAGAAAGGTAGTTAAACCTAAATTCCTTTAATATTAGTTTTGGAACTTTTTGCTTTGGTTGATGGTTTGGGAGTAGAGGTAGGCTTTGAGGTTTGTTTGTTTTTAACTTCAGAGGAATCTTAGAGCTTATTTGCTTTTAACAACTTATTTTACATATGAGAAAATTTAGGCCAGAAAATTTACCTGACCAAATTCATATAGCTGGTGGTAGAGCCAAGCCTAGCTAAGTCAATCTGATTCCCATATCAGTGTGTTTATCCTGAAGGAAACAGCTTTAGTGGGGTGCATTCAAAGTATTTGGAGAAGCTGAAGTGTCATATATGAAAGAAACTTAAAAATAAATTTCATTTGATTATTGGACAAAAGCAATGTGATTTTTAGCTATATACTACCTTAATTTTCACTTTTCTAATTTACAATGTAAGTAATAGAGTTATGGTTAAATATAAAGCCCATTCATAAAATCCAGGATTATTCTTTATGTATATTTTATTATTACATTTTATTATGTATTTCTGTATTCAAACATGAAAAATAACTGTGTTGTTTAGAACCCATTTTTGATTATGATCTTCATGAAAGGAGATTGACTGTATTTTTGCTTTTCAAAATCTAATATCACTGTCACTAAAGATATGAAGATAGAATATTGATTTTTATCTAAACCTACAAAGCCATTTTCATTAACTGCTTCAGCCAGAAACTAGTTGTTTCATTCCCAAACTGTAAGATTAAGACACAGATAATATCCCCATTCCTGAGTGACAGTGTCCCATAACCCATATGTTCTTTTGAAACCTTGGTTTCCCTTTTGACCTCAGACTCTGGTAGCCTCTATCTATACCTTTGAAAACTTAACATTTTTCTATTTTAAACAGTATTATGGGAACTTGTCCTTTATCTTCTCCATAAGTTCCCTAAAATGCTATGCGCATTTTTTTTTTTTTAAGAAAAATTGATTCTTTAATAATCAATGCTGGAAAAACCAGTTAGTCATTTGGATTAAAATAAATAAATAAAACTCAGTGTCATCCTTAATTCTTAATCTGTATTCCAGATGGTACAATTACTTAAAGGTAAAAATTGCATAAAAATGCTAGAAAAAAACATGGATAACTTTGACAATGAATCATGGAGATATTTTTAAGTTTGGAAATATCCCCAGAAACCATAAATTTAAAAAAAATAAATTTCACCTCTTAAAAATTTTACTTTAAACTTGACTATTTAAAAATTAAAAATTTTTTTAATAAGTTTTTATTGTTCATATTATTACAAATGTTCCTTTTTTCCCCCCCCACCATTGCTCTCCTCCACCAGGTTCCCAACCCATCCTTTCCCCACTCCCCATTGTCCTCATCCATAGGTGCACAGTTTATGTTCAGTCTCTTCCCACGCCCCCCTCTCCCCTTTTCCCCAAGAATCGTCAGTTCACTCCCCTTCCATACCTCTGATTCTATTATATTCAACAGTTACTATTGTTCATCAGATTTTTTTTTAAATTTCTTTGGTGTTTTAGACTCACTTGTTGATAGTTACGTATTTGTTGTTCATAATTTTTATCTTTGTTTACTTTCTCTTCTGAAAGAACCCCCTTCAGCGATTCATATAATTCTGGTTTGGTGGTGATGAACTCCTTTAGCTTTTTTTTATTAGTGAAGCTCTTTATCTGACCTTCGATTCTGAGTGATAGCTTTGCTGGATAGATTATCTTTGGCTGTAGGTTCTTACTATTCATCACCTTGAATATTTCTTGCCATTCCCTTCTGGCCTGCATGGTTTCTGTTGAGAAGTCAGCTGACAATCGTATAGGTGCTCCTTTATAGGTAACTACCTTCTTTGCTCTTGCTTCTTTTAATATTCTCTCTTTGTCTTTTGCTCTTGGAATTTTAAGTATGATGTGTCTTGGTGTGGTCTTTTTTGGATTCCTTTTGTTTGGAGTTCTGTGCGCTTCCTGGACTTGTAAGTCTAATTCTTTCACCAGGTGGGGGAAGTTTTCTGTCACTATTTCTTTCAGTATGTTTTCCATATCTTGCTCTCTCATCTTCTGGGACCCCCATAATTCTGATGTTGGTTCGCTTGAAGTTGTCCCAGAGGTTTCTTACATTATCTTCAATTTTCTGGATTCTCTTGCCTTCTAGCTTTTGTGGAGGAGTGTCTTCTGGCTCTTTATGTTCCAAATCTTTGACTTGATTCTTGCGATCTTCCCTTCTGTTTTTAGGACTCTGTAAAATATTTTTTATTTCAGACAATGTATTCTTTATTTCTTGTTGATCCCTCATCATTTCTTGATGACTCCTTATTAATTCTAGTTGATCTCTTTTCATATCCTCATAGGCCTTATCCATCTTTTCTAGGAAATTCTTGAAAAACCTTATAAGCGTAGATTTGAACTCTATATCCAGACGCTTTTTGTCCTCCATTTCTTTCGTTTGTGATCTATTTTGTTGTCGCATTTCGCAGTTACAGATGGGACAGGGTTTCAGGGTGGAGCCTGCAGCCTTGGCTTCCGTCAGCCCCGCCCTATGCGGGTCCTTCTGTGCTCGCTTCTCGCGCCTCTTGGGCTTTTCCGGCTCCTCCTCGCCTCCTTCTGGTTTTTTCCTTGCTTCTCGCTGTAGAATTTCCAGTCAGTCAACCTTCCTGTAGTTCTGGGCAATGTCCGTTTTATATTTTAGTTGTTTTTTTTTTTGAAATTGTTGTGTGTGGCTGCAGCTAGGTGTTCACCTGGGCGCAGCCATCTTGGATCTCAAAAAAATTAAAATTTTTTAAATGAGAGAAATCTCCAGCTAAAGTCCAAAGGCAAATCAAAAGTGAGAGAAAACATTTGCAATGTATATGATAAAGACTAGTTTCCTTTGTGGCATACATTAATAAAATATAGGATTATTCGCTGAAATCAGTTTGGCTCAATGGTAGAGCGTCAGTCTGCGGACTGAAAGGTCCCAGGTTCAATTCCCGTCAGGGGCATGTACATTGGTTGCGGGCACATCCCCGGTAGGGGGTGTGCAAGAGGCAGCTGGTCGATATTTCTCTCTCATCGACGTTTCTAGCTCTCTATCTCTCTCCCTTCCTCTCTGTAAAAAATCAATAAAAAATATTTTAAAAAAAATATAGGATTATTCATAGAAAGAAAATAAAAATGGCTGATAAACTTAATACTAATAAAAAGAAGAGAAAATTAAATCAACAAGGAAATACTATCAGATTGGCAAACACTTTTTAAAAAACTGAATTTATTGGGATAATATGTATGTCTTATTTATTGTATTATCTTTGGGGTCTAGTATCCTGTTTGGCACACAGTAGGCCCTCAATAAACATTCACTGTTAGTGACTGATAGACTTACGTTGCTCTTGAAAGCATAGCATCTTAACTATTGTAGACTTTAAAAAAATATATTTTTAAATTGATTTTAAAGAGGAAGGGAGAGGGAGAGAGACATGGAAACATTAGTG